ACGCGGGCCTCTCACCGCTGCGGCCTTTCCCACTGTGGAGCACAGGCTCCGGATGCGCAGGCCCAGTGGACATGGTTCACGGGCCCAGCAGCTCCGCGGCACGTGGGACCCCCCCCAGACCGGGGCACGAACCCGCGTCCCGCACATCGGCAGGCAGACTCTCAAGCACTGCGCCACCAGGGAAGCCCTAGGTTTGTTTCTTTTAACCATTGGTTTCCCTTTCTCCATACTTTCCCCCACCATTAATTCCTTCTTTCTCAAGTTCTCCATGATTGTATATACAAACAAAGCATATACAATTTTTTTAACATTAAAAGATATCCATGAAAAATAAGTATCATTTCCCCCATGTGCTCACTTTCAAAATTGTTACGTCTTCCCAGTTTGGTAAGTCAAAAGTATTACACCATTATTATTTTAATTTCATTTTCCCCCTCACTGCTACTTATGTGGAGCGTCTTTTCACACATTGATCTTCTATTATTGACCCTTCTATCCTTTACCCACTTTTCAAATTGGAATTTGTTGTCTTATCAAGTTTGAGAGAACTCTTCCTATATGATAAATATTGATGGGGTTCAGGAAAAGCTACCTCAAAATATGGCAACTTGGCATAGTGAATATTTTTAAACTGAAGGAATTTGAGAAATGGCACATGTAGGTCATAAGCTCTTCATGTGAGAGATGCCTGCCTAAACCCAAAAAAAGCTTCCTTATCTCTGAAAATGAAGGGACGAGAGGAATCTAAATAAATGGGACTTGCTAAATTTTGCCCACATTACTATCCTTAGCTCATACTCTTTGTCCTATCATATTTTTCTGTAACTTTCCACTTCATCAAATCTAATATAAAAATGCTCCAGTTTTACTGTTATCTTTGGGTCTTCATTTCCTCATGAAGTCTCATGAGTCATGTAAAACCTAAATAAATTTATATGCTTTTCTCTTATTAATCTGCCTTTTGTTACAGGGATCCCAGTTGAGAACTTAGAAAAAATATATTTTTCCTCTTATGTAATATCATTCCTTTTCCTATCCTCCATATTACTAATATATCTTCTCTAAGTTAACTGTTTGGAAATTTTACCATATGATCTTTGCCATATATTTTTTAAATTTTTATATAAGTAGATATTTCTATTATTTATTTTTATAGATTTATGATTTTGAGTCTCAACTAAGTTTCTTACCTTTAGATTGTATATATAATCTCCTGTTTTCTAATAGGACTTTTATTTTTAATTTTTTTCATACATTTTTACTCTATCTGGAAGTTACTTTTGAATCTGATTTAAAATAGGGGTCCATTTTATTTTCTTCAAGTTTGATACGCATTGTACCAACACCATTTATTTAATAATGCACTATTATCTCAATGAATTAAAACACCTTTATCTTCTATTAAATTCTTTTATGTAGTAGAATCTGTATCTGGATTCTCTGCTCCACTAACCTACTTGCCTATTCTTATGCCAGTATAATATTGATTTCACTACAGTGACTTTATAGTGTGATCTGACATCTGGTAAGGCAAGTTTCCTCTCAATTTTTTCTTTTTCCCAAAAGACCTTGTCACTCTTCCCCCCATATCTACTCAACATTATATTACCTAAGTTTAAAAAAAACACACATCAGTTAAGGTGAAATCAATTAATATACTTCCTGGAATTACAATAAATACATATATGAATTTGGGGAGAACTGGCCTTCTTTTATAATAGTAATTTGTTTTACCCCCAAACACATATGCTTTCTCTTTTTTTCAGATCTTTTACGTCCTTCAATAGAATTATATAGGTTTATTTTTATTTGAAAATGTGTCTTTCTTGATAAATTTATAACTATTTTATAAAGTTTTAGGTGCTTTTAAGAATGGAATATTTTTTTCCCACTTCCCTTTCTAGGTATTTACTACTTGAGTAGATTTTTAAATTTTTATCTAACCATTTTGTATCATCTTATTAATTTTACAAGTCCTTTTGGGTTTTTAACTATTCAGTCAAATCATTATAAAAAAAAGACTATTTTAACCTTTCTTTAGTTTTTTAATTACATCTGCCAGACCTTCCAAAAACACTGATTAAAATATATATAGAAGTTAATCCATATATACAACCTGATTTTTGACTAGATTGTTATAGTATTTCACCTTTTGAGAAAATAACTGCTGTTTGTCCTTGGTTAATAGGATATTTTACATTTAAGTAGTTGACTTATATTTCCATTTAACTTAGAGATTTTAATAAGAACAGCTGGCTGATCATTGTGATGCTTATCAACCTATCATTGATTGACTATCTGACATGGAGCCATCATTGTATTCTTGAATTAAACCCTATTAGGCCATAGCTATTATTCTTTTATTATCCTTTTAACTAAAGGAAGGGTGAATTAGATATGCTAGTATTGCATTTTGAATTCTGCATTTATATACTTCAGTGAGGTTGGACTTTTTCTCTTTTTCCTTTTATACTATCTCTAGCAGAATTAGGTATTAATGCTGGATTCAATATAAAATGAATTTTAAGAGCTTTCTTTATTTACCATGGTCAGGACTACCATAAAAGGCAACGCTCTTTCCTATTTTTTTTTAAATTTATTATTTATTTTTGGCTGCGTTGGGTCTTCTTTGCGTCTTTGCTTTGTGCGCAGGCTTTCTCTAGTTGCGGTAAGTGGGGGCTACTCTTCATGGCGGTGTGCAGGCTTTTCAGTGTGGTAGCAGAGCACAGGCTCTAGGCACGTGGGCTTCAGTAGTTGTGGCATGCCAGCTCAGTAGTTGTGGCTTGCGGGCTCTAGAGCACAGGCTCAGTAGTTGTGGCACATGGGTTTAGTTGCTCCGTGGCATGTGGGATCTTCCCAGACCAGGGATCGAACCCATGTCCCCTGCATTAGCAGGGGGATTCTTAAGCATTGCACAATCAGGGAAGTCCCTTTTCTATTCTTTATAAGAGCTAGATAACAACTGCAAATCTGATCACTGTGCATTTTTCTATGTACTTTAGTTACCTTTCTAATCTCTTTTATGGTAATAACCTATTAAAGTTTTATAATTATTGAGTCAATTTTAATAATTTATATTTTGCTAGGACATCATTCATTTATCTAGGTTTTGCATGTTGCCACAGAATTACAGTAGTATCATCTTATAATTTACCTTGTGTCTCTGGTTGGTCTTCTCTCTCAAACTTAAGCATATATTTTCGCTCTCTTTTTCCTTTAACAATCAGTGTGAAAAAGGATTTTGCTATTTTCAAAGAATGCAAAGAATGATCTCTTGGGATTTCTTTCTCCTTTTTTCCTTTTTTTTTGTTTTTTTGTTTTTCAGTTTCTTTGATTCCAGTTTTTATCTGTATTAATTACCTCTTCCTCCTTTATTTTGATTTATCTTATTGTTCTTTAATTAATTTATTAGGTTAGGCAAAGGAATTATTTTGTCAATGAACTAAAAATATCTTAGTAAGATTTGAGACAAGATAGTATAATTTAATAAAATGAGATTATTGGGTGATGGGTGAAATACATCCCATCTCTATTAAGACATGTATACCTTTTAGCAAACCATTTAATATGTGTAGCTAATAGTTTCCACATCTGTAAGCTGAAGAGAATACAGAGCCTCAAGATTCCTGTTAGGTAAAAAATTATGCCTGATAAAATTGATAATTTTAAGCTCCATTTAAGAAACTAGGGTGTTTGAAAGAATAAGAGACCTTGGGAATCACTGCCTTTAGAAACAATATCTAAGAAAATTCAGGGTGTCTATGATAGTGAAATATAATGGAGACCTATACTCATTCTATAAATGTTCAGGTCATAATCAAGTGAACTCCTAAGAAGTTTCACAAATATGAATGCCCTAGTACAAGACCTTCTTAAAGAAGGTGCATCTAAGTTACGTTGCTTAAAATGACAGAAAGATTAAAAAATAAAAATAAACTACTCTGGAACTAAATCACATCTTCATATTTTCTTAGAAATAAAGAACCTGGGATCAAATGGGTTTCCAGGGACTCCATAAACACTGTGATCTTGCAAACAAAAATCTAGGTATATTTATTTATACTTTTATTGGGATATTTAATCACATTGATGGATTTGCAAAGAGTCTGGGACCTGAGAGAGGTTGAAAAAGACTATTCTAGATTAGTAACCCAACTTTCTACCTTTAGTCTGTGATTAAACTTTTCTGTGGTCATACTTTTGCTACTTCACCAAAGAGACCTTTTCTTTGTTGGATAGTCAAGTCAAACTTTACCTCTAAAATTCTCATCTATTTTGTTGATGTCAGTCTCTGGAGCTTCACATAGTAGAACAATTCCCCATTACAGAAAATAGCCCTTTACATATTTGGAGATAGCCATCTTAATTCCAAGATATTTTTCTTTTTCAGGCTGGTGTCTTCTAAACAACATAGCATATGGACATAACTCATTAATTCAAAATTTTTTCTCTAAAGGAAGATGCTTTTACAACTCATGAAGACAATAACTTTATATATTTTAAAAGTTCTCTAGTAAATGCTCACTAATTCTGATAAATGGATAGAGTGCTCTACATTTACTTATGAATTTCAGAAAGATTTCAAAGAAAGCAATTGCATTATTGTTTCATGAATTCTACAGAATTCTACAGAATTTTTACATATTTATTTACTCCACTAAATTCTTAGAAACTGTAACTCATAAAGTACTTTAAAAATGTTTTTAAAGTATGGGTTATTTGTCAAAATACTATTCATGGATGGATTTCAACACATTTTCAAATTTTAGCCCAAAATAAGTTTTTGTATTTATACTTACAAAGGATAAATGCGGTAACATCATTATTTTAAGTGAGTCTAAAAATATCATTTACATCAATTCTTTTTGGATAAAAAGGGAGGAAATACTTAGTGGAGTGACGTATAGTATCATACAAGGGAGAACAAATTCCAAGATGGTAAACTAAGCTCCATAAAACTTAGCAACAAAATTAAATAACTATACAAGTGTATTACTTACGGGTACAATTCTGAAAGCTGTTCAGCTATTGCATAAGCTGTTGGGTCTCTGTCTAAGGCATACAGAGTAATATCTGACTCCTTCTGTAGAATGGCTCTTGTGTGTCCTCCTGAACCAAATGTCATATCTAGAAAAAACTAGCCAACACAGAAAAAGAAAATTACCACTTAGCATGAGCAAAATTTATTCTTGCCAGCTACCTTATTTCTAGACACACATAATGCTTTTCAGAGCTGACAGCAAATAGAAAAACAAATTACTTTTTTTTTTTTTTGCCTAGAGTTCAATTTGTTGTACATGAGGTCTGGGTCAATTATGAGTGATCAGTCCAATAGAATTTGTCAGAGTAACAGCAAAATGATAATCTTTGTCAGGCTGGCCACAATTCAAGGCAAATTTGCATTTTCCCTACATAAGTTAAATTTAGCCACAGTGTTGTGCTAGTAGCTTTTTACTGCTTTCAAGCACCTGACTAAAAATGATATTTCCAACAATTTCTCATAATTTGGAGACAGCTTACAATTGGTGTGGCTCACTTTATCTCAAGTTCTCTAAATGCTTTATATTAAACATAAAAATATTCAAGAATACAGAGAGACAGAGAGAGAGAGAGAGAGAGAGAGAGAGAGAGAGAGAGAGAGATTATACCTAACAGTGGTCATAGAACAAATATTTAATTAACAAATCAGACCTGAAAAAGCCCAGGGCTTAAGTCAAAACACCTGGGATAAATTATAGCCTTGCCACCAAGTAGCTACATAGCTTTGGAAAAGTCATTTAAAATTCCAGGTTTTTAGATTTCTCCAGAGTTTAAAAAGAAAAAGAAGGTCTAGAAGAAGATACCCCAATACCTGCCTAATTGGTAAGGTGACATATAATTTCTCATCTAAACCAAAACACTTTTGGTAGTAAAATATTTGCCAGGATAACAGGATACAAGGTATGGGAGGACATGTGTTTAAATGCTTAGATCATTGAAGATACACAATGAAGTTAATTGGATCTGAATCTATTTCTTAGCTATTTTATTTGGCCACACTTAAGAAAACAATGCTGGCCCACTTAGGAAAAAAAAAAAAAAAAAAAAACAGCTGGCAGTTTGGCAAGAAACTAGACCTGGACCATAAAGAAACGTAAATGTAAATAAGGTAGTTGATTGTAGTTGGTTTGGAAGTCAAGACACTTAGCACATCCTCTCAAAGTTACACTCTTAGTTTAATGTGCTCTCTGAATAAGCCTCACTCGTATGATGAAAATAAAAACAATTATTCCAATAATACTGAATACTGCGACAAATAACATACACAATAAGTCAGACTGTTAAAAATATTTAAACATATAACTTTTTAAAAGTTCATGTGTACATTGCACAAAGGAAATTCCTGTAATGGATTTGAACATTTCCCTGCCCTGAATGTTATAACTTATTTCAGGGAGAGTGGTCAGAGACAAGGCACAATTATGCTTTGATTTTTTTTTTTTTTTGACTATAAGCTACCATGCTGAGTCCTGTCCTCTGATCATGTCCTCAGAAAAGTTAGCCTACTATTCAAAGAATAATATGGAGGAAATCTTCTGATCAAAATTGAGAAGAGGAGGGATGTAAAATATAAGATGTAAATGTGGTCAAAAATAATGGTACAAGCACTGCTTCTTAACATAAATTTTGTAGTATAACTTAACCTTGCACTTCTATCACTGTCAGCACAAAAGGTATGGCTACATATATTTTTCACCTTTTTAAACAGTAACTTTAAAACAACACTTAAAGTCTTATTAGTGGAATGGCTGTTAGGAGTACATATTTAATCTCATGATTGAATAATTTCCTCTCCCAGTCTGTATACTTATTTTATGCGTCTATGAGGGTAAAAATCTTCTGCCATAGCTCACCTCAGTTTTAAAATTGCTAGAGGTTTAGCATGACTTAAACAAAGAACTTTTCCAGGCAAAAGTATATACCACTTTCTTGTTATGCCCCGATATCAAGTCTTATATAGCCCTGGATTTAAACTAAGAATATATCAAATAAAATAATTTGCATATGATTACCTTATCCCAAGCCAGGAAAGTCCCAATCAATATTTAAAAAGAAAAATCCTTATGATTAAAAATATTCTGGAAAATGTGAGATAATTATAATTTACATGATTACTTTTTAATATATCATGATTATGCCCTTGGAGATGTACTGACAATCAAGGAACTTTCCATAGGAAAAAAATAATCTATTATTACCCGTCAAGTGTAAAACAAAGCAAAAAGTGGGAGACAAATGGGATTTATGAAACTAGAACTGAACCCCACAATATATCCTGGGTTAATAGGTGATTGGAGCCATCGACTTCCATTTTTAAAATTCTAATGGGGCTTCCCTGGTGGCGCAGTGTTTGAGAGTCCGCCTGCCGATGCAAGGGACACGGGATCGTGCCCCGGTCCGGGAAGATCCCACATGCCGCGGAGCGGCTAGGCCCGTGAGCCATGGCCGCTGAGCCTGCGCGTCCGGAGTCTGTGCTCCGCAACGGGAGAGGCCACAACAGTGAGAGGCCCGTGTACTGCAAAAAAAAAAAAAAAAAAAAAAAAATATTCTAATGTACACTGTCCATCAAATATAATAAGTGACATCTAGGCCTTATGAGTAACCCAGCACTACAATTGAAAAGGGAGCCAATTAGTTTTTCCACTCTCCTGGATCACTAACTTGACATAAGACCACATTTTTTTGTTTGTTTGTTTTTTGTTTTTTGTTTTTTGTTTTCCGATACGCGGGCCTCTCACTGTTGTAGCCTCTCCCGTCGCAGAGCACAGGCTCCGGACGCGCAGGCTCGGAGGCCATGGCTCACTGGCCCAGCCGCTCCGCGGCATGTGGGATCCTCCCCGACCGGGGCACGAACCCGCGTCCCCTGCATCGGCAGGCGGACTCTCAACCACTGCGCCACCAGGGAAGCCCAAGACCACATTTTTAAATTTGTACAACTTGATAATAAAATAAGGCGACTGGATAATTTTTTTGCTTAACAAATGCACAAGAACAACATAACTGAATGTTTCAAAATAATCCTTTTATGACTCTCAACTATGTATATAGGCAAATGTTTATCTTATGCTCCAAACATATATGGAATTCTTTCTTTGAAATTACCTGATATAATTTATCTAAAACGCCTAACCCATATGATAGCAAGTTTTTTCTGGTAATTTCACTCATCACCTTTATAACTCTGGCCAAATCATTTTAACTCTCTGAGATTCAACTGCTTTATCTAAGAAATGGGGATAAAATGTACCCTTGTTTACCTCTGATATTTATAAAGTTTATCTTATTTCTTCCTTAAAACAATGAAGTAGGTGTTAATAAATTTTACATACAAAGAAACTAAAATTACACTAAGCTAGTAAATGGCAAATGTAAGAATTGAATACAGGTGTACCTGGCTCTAAAACCCGTGTTCTTTCTCCCACTGACTCTGCATTAAGTCAACAGAGTCTATATCTGCACACTGCTTTATGACTTTCCAAGCATTAATGTTTTCCTACTTGGTCTAACAAATACTCTGTAACAGAGTATGGAAAAGTGGCATTATCCCCATTTTCACAAATAAATAACTGAGGTTCAGAAAGATAATGTGACTTAAGATCATATTAACAGTAAGT